TTTATGTGGCTCATACTGCTACTGTTTAAACCACACGATGTTTTATGCATCTTATTCTTTTGGTTGCCTCTGAAATGCCAGGTAGTCTACTCTAGTTATAGCATCGTGGCATGGATTAGAGTACTTTGTGAATACTGTTGAAGAGCTCCACTGTCTAGCCTGCAGCACTTGGAAGGTGTCAACCCAGCACCTGGTGCTCCATCTCTGTGGTGATGTTTTGATTTGTGTTGAATCCCTAACTGAGTAGTCCATAATACTGAAGGTTGAAACTGGTTGAAAGTTTCAACACTTGATGGCAACAACGAGATTCAGCACAAGGTGGGAATCTCCCAGACCATGATCTTTGTTGGCAAGCAGCTGAGGATGACATCATCTGTGTGGAGTAGAATACCCACAAGGAGCCCACCCTTCACCCATGTCTTGAGGATGTACATCTCATGCATGCCGAAGGTACATCTGAGACCTTCCTTCTAAGTTTTGCCAGATCAGGGGAAGTTTGTCTTTGCAGTGAAGCAGCTGAAAATGAAAGGATCTCTTTCATGGAAGCGGACCTCTGCCGGAACCATCCAGAAGATATCAACCCTGCATCTTGGCTGCGGTCTCCACAGTGATTTTTTGAACTGTTAATGGTTGTCGCTATTTTCTTGTGTCAGTCGTTTCTGTCCATCTCGTTGTGCGTTGCTTCATGATCTGCCATGTCCAATCGGAACCTAGAATGTATTTTCTCATGGTTCTGTTCATTACGACTTGTGTGATTCTGTGTTGTGGACAAGCAAAAGGATGCATATCTTGAATGTTAAATCTCTGTGTTCTTCTGGTGATGGTGAATTTATCTTGCTCCCTCCTTTAACTACTGTTGCAGCACTACATTACCTATGATGTCACCTAGAAGACAGATGCAAATCTGGTCATTTCTGTTATTGTTAGAAAGTTGTAAGTCACCCCTGGTCCCCTGGTACTTCTATTTGCGTGATTGCTCTTGTTTTTTGTTTTTTTTTTGTGTGTGTGGTTTCAATCAGGTAAGCAGAAGACGATAACCAGGCACAATTTTTTCTTGGGATATAGGAGTTAATGCCAGTTACATTTCGGACAACCTTGATCAATGAGAACTACCAAATCAAAATTTCTGAATCGTGATTAGATATTCTTAGCAGAGCATGACTGATGGTAATATCCCAGTATGAAGTTGATGCCACACTGTTATCCATGATTGGATTGGACCCTGCTGATACTTTTGGACCTTGCTAGGAAGCAAAGTTCTCTGCAATTATTCATGTAGCGTTTATCAATCTGTTGAGGTGCAGCATACCAGGGTCTTCCGTAACAGTTGGAGACGGACAGTTGAACTGTTAACGGAGTGCTACTTTTCGAGGTAGAACTTTGGACCTTTTTTCGCTATCCTTCTTAGTTGAGTTCCATGAAACAATGGCTGTGTGAATTGAAACCAACTCCAGATTACTATTCTCTTCCCGTATATCTCCTTTCAAGTCTTGTTTTCTGTCTGACATCGTTATTCAGTATAGTCTCCTAACAGGCTAATACTCACTCAACGATTCCTCTATTTTTTTTCCTCATTTAGGAGAGAAGAAGACTACATTGACAATGATGAGACAACTGGAATAATTGATAGCTCTATGTACCTCTGTTCTCTTCTTTGGTATCAACTCCTGGGCTAAGATATTTCGTGAACTCAGCAGTACATGAAGTGTGGATGAATTTATGATCAATTTGTTACAAGGCAGACTGCTAATTTTTGAGCTGTCTACTTGAAATAGCAGGGATTGAGCTGGCTACTTCAAGGATCTTAACTACTCTCGACTCAACGCTTAACTGATCCTTGAATTAAAAATTATGGAATTAAGGATCGTGATTTGTGATTGGAAAGATCTCATGATGTTTATGAATGATTTTAGATAGCTAAACATGAGAAAATGACTGAAAGTCAAAATTTGAAGGTGGGTCAGTGACGTGGAGAAGCATTTAAATTTTGGTTTTGAAAACATCTTTTGAGGCAGAACACCTCGTGTCAGTTCCGCGACGCGGAGCTGAAATTTTCAAAACTGGGGACTAGGCGTGTGACACGCGACCACCCTCTAATTTCGTCCGACGAAATTTCTTCTTCGTTTTCCACCCTCAATTCGCCCAAACTCGGTTCTTTTTCTTAAATTGCTTTTAGATACAGATACCCAAAAAATGTACCTAAGAACTTAACTCGAAACGACTTTATAATACGACGTAACAATCTCAGAAACTTCTCAATTCAACCAAATTCAAGAACAACATTCAAACTCAAGAACATCAACTTTCAAACTCTCTAAGGACGAATTCTGTTGAACGAAACATGTTTGGTGCGTGGGTGAATGAACCCAACGCTATGAAAGACTCACATACCTTGTAGGATCAATCCTTGGCGAATCCACAACCAAAATCGATCGTTCTTGGCGAATCTTGTTTTTCATGTTCTCCTTTCTCTTGCGTTCTTTCTCCAAAAGCCCTAACTCTATTTTTCAAAAGCGCAAACTGAACTAACTCAGTTTTGACTTCAATTATTTTACTAAAAATGGATTTAATTAATTGGGTAAGGAAAAAACCAAACTACCGGGCATTTCCTTATACGAACAGCCCAACTTTCAAAGGGCATAACTCACTCATACGAATTCGGAATTGCGCAAACTTGGCGGCGTTGGAAAGATCATTCCAAGAGCTTTCCAACCATATCTGGAATTACACCTAACTCATCTTGAGCTAGGAGTTATGGCCGTTTGAATTTGACCAAAAACTCACTTTAACACACTTGCCAAATTTTCAGATTTTTAAATTCTTTCCAAAAATAACTATTTCCAATTTCTAAACTTCCTTCTAGTTTCTAGTTGTGGATGTTACAATATCTCCCCCTTGGAATCATTAATCCTCGAATGAGATTACTCTTACTAGGATAAGGGTGGTAAGTTGAAACGAGGCTCTTGTTGTCCACTGATTTCATTTTTATCTTTTTGCTCTCGTTGGACGTTGAAAAGTTTTTTTTATTTTTTTTCATAATGGAAGTCAATTTCGTTTTATCTTGTATGATATGCATTAAAATAATAGGATTGTCACGATATCATTTTTTTTCTTTGTCAAACACAAAAACTAATTTTCAAAAAGGTTTGGTGTGGAACTCTTGCCATCTTTTTTTTTTTTTTTTTGGTTAGAAAAAAAAAACTAATAACTCTTGCCATCTCAACATCTGTTGAGCTCAAATGGCCTCGAAGTCGAATAACATGTTTCTGTCCAGGGCAGATCCAAAGTTTTCGCTACGGGTGAACAAAACTAATAACTTTTTGCTAATACTTGTGTATTAAAAAATTCACTAATATTTAATTGTAAACCCAAATAAATATGAGGTTATTATAAAAACTAATAAATTCAAATTTTGGATCCACGCATTCGTATTCAGTGTAAAAGCAAAGTTCGAATACTATCTATATAAGTATAACTGTATAACCCATAAATCGTAATAGTAAATGTTAGACAAGCATTTGTGCCTTCTAATTAATGTGAGATTAATAAAGGTAACAAGTGTATTTTTCTCTCAACGAATGGAAACAAAAGTGATCGTGTCCAAGTTGATACCTTGCATGTAAGTGCTATTTAGATTGCATCCGTATCTCCTCATTTTAAGAAAAAATACACATAGAAAACTTCTAATGTTTTATTTTTAGTTGGTATAATATTACTAGTTTGAAATGAGCTCAAGTGTCACCAATAACTCTGCTTGCTTAGAGTTTAGGCATAGTACCAAAGTTTGTACTTGGATATCGATATAATCCATACTCATTCTGCTTCTCTCAGATGGTTGGTCATGTTAGCTAGGATCGAAAATAATTAGGTTTTATGCAGAGGCAAACCTAGAATTTGAAGACTTTGGGTGCACCAAATATGAAAATGGGTCAACATAAAATGGGTAATAATTCAGCCCGTCCATATTTGATATGGGTAACAATGGATTGGGTAACAAATGAATTGGGTAAAATACTAGTTTACCCATATTTTACCCATATTTTCATTAGTAAATAGTACTCTACTTAAGAATTCAACATGGAGAAAATATTTTAGTTTTTTTTAGATGAAATATGTTGAAAATGCTTCATTTAGTTTTATTGTATCATAAAAGTAAATAAGAAAAATCCTATAAGTTTTCAATATAAAATAAATTCATGTTTTCCTCAAAAACAAGTAGATTTTTGACTTATTTTCTCATGTTTGATTGGTGAGTAGAAAATGGCTGGTAGGGGGGTGGGTCAATGGCAGGGATGAAAAAATTAAATTTTAAAGTTGAAAACATTTTTTAAAAACAAACTTAAAATTATTTTTTTGGGGGGTAGGTGGTCAAGGGTAGAGGTGAAAAAATGAAATTTTAAAGTTCAAAATATTTTTTAAAAATAAAATAAAATTTTTTTTTGGGGGTGGTGGCTGGTAAGGGTGGGGGGGTTGTCGAGGGTAGGGGTGAAAATGGTTTCCTTCGTACCAGACACACCCTAAAACATGTTTAAAGCACTTTAAGCAATGTCAATACTAGTACATGATTTGCTTATTTTACACTATGATTTATTATCCAATATAAATTAAACAAATAAAAAAATATAATTATAATTAACAAAAGAAATGTACATTTAAAATAGATATATTTGGAGGGCCAAAGACTTCACATTTTCAATTATAGAGAAAAATAATTAGTTTTATAGAAGAACATAAAAAGGAAGAGAAGTTGTAATAAATTTGGTAATATCATGAATTTTGAGTGAATAAAAATTAGAAGCTTAACTCATTTGGTTAATCCATATTTTTATGGGTTAAATATGGGTATCAACCCATATATTATCCATGTAAAAAGTCACTCACCCAACCCATTAAATATGGACGGGTTATCAAAATATGGGCTGCCGGGGCATAACGTATTAGTGTCTACTAGAGTTCAAAATTGTCACACATTTTATTTTATTTTTGCCCTAACAGCTGACTTAAGTTTAACAATTTTTCTTAAGATGTGCATTCTTATATTAGTGCATTCAACACAGCAACTATAGTCTCTTGTGTGCAAAATTTCCCAAAAAGTCCTGTGGTTGGGATTTGCTGGCTTAGGTGGTGCTATTTTAACTCAGATATATATATGCAGTAATCCATTCCCCGAATCACACTTCACTTGTATTCATTGTGGAGGCGGTGGTGGTGGTGGAGACATATCGGATTTTGCAAATCCCACCCATGCAACAATGCCAGCGGCTAGTATGACCCAATAGAAAATGTCATAATTGATATTAATGCTCTCCTTTTTTGAAATCTGCAATGCAAAAAAAGACATATAGGTGAATCAGCAATAATATTTTGATAGATCGAAAATGAATCTGACAAAACCACCAGATTTTTCACAGAGCTTCAGTACCAGTCTTGAGAGGACTTTAACTTTCAAATTTCCAGGGAGGATAAAGTAAACGTAACATTTAAAGGCGTACAAAATCAAAGAACAAAAATTAGACTCTGTGATGAAGGCATCACGACTTATTATTCTAAACAACAATTTAAATGGAAAAAAAAAATCAAGACACGTCAATTAGTAAGGATTATACTGAACACAGAAGATAAGATATAGCTCCTATCAAGAGATAAGGGGTGAGAACTAAAGACTAAAGAGATTCGTTTGTGCTTGTCGATGTTGAAGGTTCTGCTGCCATAGTTTGTTGCATGGGGCCATGCCTGTGCAATTCTTGAGCCTAATTATACTGTAGAAGAACATAAATCGAGACTCCCAACCATAAAATGAGACATTTCATGAGTAAAGATATCACAAATTTGACAAAATAAAACAAACTAAACAATCGAAAATTTCCACAAGCTGCACCACCTAGTCAGGATATTTCTAAAAGACCAATCCCAGGCGTGTGGGAGGTTTTGTTGAGTCTCACATTGAATGTGGGAGGATTGAGCAACCCCCACCACTCAAGCTAGTTTTTGGGTTTGAGATAGACCCAAGAACCATTTTCTTATCATATCCAGACCCTTGTGAGAGGTTGACTATGGATGGATTCAAGAGAGGAACAAATAGTGCAAAGAAGAAGAAGTATAAGGAAGAGGTGATTAGAAAGAGCATGACGAGGTTACAATTACCGAGAAAACAGCCTTAGCTAGGAGGTTATGAAGGACGCGAATTAGGGTAGAAAGTTAATAAATAGTTGGGTGTCATCTTGTTTTTCCTTACATACTAGTTAATTATAGTATTACTCTTGTAGTTTCTTGTCTTTCTATTTCTGCTACTACATGTTTCTTGTACTTCAATTATCATAGTATTTTGTTGTAGTTACTACACCTTTTCAGAGTGGTTTGTCATGCTCTATATAGTATTTTTCCATGGCTTGTCCACTTCGTCATTTTTTTCAATCTACTTTAAATTGCTTTTCCATGAGTCAAGGGTCTTAACAAAAACCATCTTTGTACTTCCAAAGATAGGGTAATGCCTACGTGCAATCTACCCTTTCCACTGAATATTATGTTGTTGTAGGTTATCTAATACTCCCTCCGCTCCATATTTATGGTATTTTAAGCCTGGACACACCCCTTTAAGAAGTCACTTACTCATAGAGATAAGAAGTGATTGCACCTTGATTAAATAATTTTACTTTAATATGATTCTTGGTTAGATAAAAATTCACTTATTTAAGTGTAAATTTGGAAAAGAACTATTAATAACTTCTTGATTATGTTAAAACTATCTATTTTGGACTAAATGTAAAAGCTAAAAATACTATAATATGGATAGGAGCAAGTAAGGGGCAAGAAAAGATACACAAAAAATTACTACAATATCAATATACACCAATTACAAAGGACCACGTAGGAATGAAACTTGAAAAAAAAGAATTGAGTGCGAAAATTGGGAATAAGCGAGGAAAAGGCAATGGCACACAACCACGTGTAGCAGTTTGATATCATTCATTTGGAATACCTAAATACAACATAAAGATGCAAAGCATTAAACATATCGAGACTTCGCTAAAAGAACAACAAAAGTTTCACCTTAGCAGCAGCATCCAAAGATTTGCGGTAAAGGTCATTTGAGGGATCCTGCATTCAGAGTAACAAAAATCTAAGCTACTTGCAACAGTAAAGCACACATACATTTGGAATGTCTGTTGAGAAAGATATACCGCATCAGATGCCTGCTTAAAGAACATAGTTGCTTTTTCAAAGTAAAGAGCAGCTGCATCCATATCAGTAGTTAATAAACCATATGAAGTATAGGCATTTCCCAAACACCAAAGCACATCATGCTTCTTTTTAGGTTTCAAAGTCAATGCCTTCTCCAACCTTGAGATTGCATCTGCCAAGTTAATTCCCAAATAAACGACAACAAATACACACTTCATCAGCCTCTTAGAATTTCAAAAACTCAAAGAACAAGAACAGCAAACAAAAGAAAGAACATTTTTTTGGCTGAAGAAACACACTATAGGTTCGATCCTAAAAAATCTAATTTATAACAAACTATTTAATCAAGTCCCAAAATTCAAGCAACTCAATACCAGAAATCATTTGTTTCGATTCGACTCCATGCTCGAACCGTGCTAGATTCAGCAATGCACGTCCCCACCTCGCCAAGTTCTGCATTCAACATCACATAACAAAAACAACAAACTCGTTTATTCAACAAAGCATCGAAGTTCAAATTAAACGCAAAAAACATCAAATAGCTGAAATCCAATTAGAACGATAAAACAGAAACGATAAATGAAGAGAAAGAGGAGATACTGACATCACCATCACGCGGATTCTGAGGATAAGAGGTTTCAGCACTCTTCCGAGCGCGTTCGAGGGAGAGGAGCATCTCCATTGCTGAGGTGCTTCGATTCGATTTTAGGGTTCTAGTTAAATTCGATTTTAGGGTTCTAGTTAAATAGTGGTCGACACGTCATTAGTTTGAGAAAATATTGTGGGCTTTTTTTTGAATTCTGGGCTTTTAGTAAATCGTAATCTATTCTATTGGGCTACGAAGAAATTTAAGCGAAAATGCCATATATAGCCCATTTCAGGACTACTAATCAATAAGAGCTGAAATATCTCTCTTTAGGCAACTACTACACTCCTGATGAAATTATATCGACTTTTATCCATTATTTGGATTTAACTTCATGACACATTAGATAGTTTAGGCCTAACCCATCTGTAGCCACCTAAATAATAACAAAATTTGATAAATTGCTAAAAAAAAAAAGCCATATGCTAGTCTACTTTATTTCCTAACATATAAAATTTTGCACCAACACACTAATATAAAACTAATAATTGTGGAAGTTTCTAAAGATGTGATTTGTTTTGGGAGAATCTACAAAATCACACTAATGCTTTTATTTAATAACTATAATGAAAGAATAACCAAAATTCAATATGAAATAATATAATTATTTCTAAAATTATAATAAGGCATTTATCTTGGAAAATATAAAATTGTTGTATTTCAACTGACATTTTAACTATGTATAACTTTACAATAAATAAATAAAAAGTAATAAAAATTGGTATATCGCTGATGATAACGCATTCTTCACACTTGTAAGAATTTCCAAAATTCAATATAAAATTAGTATTATTGTTTCTAGAAAGGATAAGCTGGTTATTTACCCCACAAAAAATAAATCTATTACGTTTAAGTTCAAATTATAATTATGTACAAGCCTGCAATAAATAATAAAAATAACAAAATTTGATAAATTGCTAAAAAAAAAAATGCCACATGCTAGTCTACTTTATTTCCTAACATATAATTTTTTGCACCAACACACTTTATAAAACTAATAATTGTGGGAAAAAAATAAAAAGAACGAACATTTATTGTTTGAAAAAAAGAGCAAATCAATAATAGATAATAATGAAAATTTAGAAGAAAACCATGGAATGAAAAGGGAAGAATGTTATGCCATATGACTTTCTTTAGTATTTATAGTACTCAAAGAATTAGTAACATAACATTAAAAAAAAAACTAACGGATTTGAGTAATTATAAATAAATGAGTATTAAGTGTAGTAATTAATTATGCCTAATTGAATTATTACCGTAAACAACTTAAAATCAGAAATGAAGGGATACTGCAACGTGGGCTGTAAGTTTTAATTGGACTTTTACTGCATTTGGTTGACATGCTTAACTGAACTTTATGAGGTTTAGGAGTTATCCTTTAATTAATAACATAAATTAACCAAAATATGCAATAAAAATTCAGAAAAAATATCAAAAAAAAATTGAAAAAAGATAAATACAAATGTTGTCCATAGAAAGATGCCACATCACCTTTTCTATATTTAGCTTTATATTTATATATAGATTTGGATTTAACTTCATGACATTTTAGATAGTTTAGGCCTAACCCATCGATAACCACCTAAAGTTGGCACAAATTTTCACTTAGACACCTTAACTAGACTTTGTTCATTCTAGACACCTCATTTGATGTGATTTTGTAGATAATCTTTTTACCATGAAAGTGCTCATACAATAAATACTTTTTCCATCCCAATTTATTTATTTTACTTTTTCTTTTAATTCAATCTATCAATCCTTCAACTTTTTGTGACAAGTTAAGATTATAATATATGATATTTTAACATATGAAAATCAGAATAGACAAATCAAAATGAAAAAAATAAAAATAAAATCAAGTGTGGTTCAAATAAAGAGGTTATGTATGTAGTGTCAATTTTTCTGTGGGAATTCATAGACATGTGAACACCAAAAATAAAACGGAAGAAAGAAGATAGAAAATGCGTTACAAGACCCACGTGGAATGCCTACACGGTTATATTTACTTTTCTATTAAAAGATTTCTCCTAATTTAATTATTACACACATTCAATTTAACCCATAAAGTCAATTCCTAATGCTTATTTAGTAATTCCTGTTGCGACTTGGATATACATATGGAATATGTCCTTCTACCCAACCTGTCCTTCCCATCACCATTATCATGAACTCGAAAAAGAGGAAAACAGAGTGATAAATCAAGCAAAACTGAAACATTTTTTACTCTCTCAAACAAACAACAAATGTACCCTAAGATATTCCTCAACAAAATCATATTTTCACAACCAAGAGATACACACAGGAAAATTCTTAGAAAGCTGTCGTCGATCATATTCCTTAATCCACAACTTAATTTCTGTATAAACCTAAAAGTAGGGAATTTTCAATCAATCAACTCTTCATCAATTGAAAACAAGAATCCCAGAATTTTAAAATAAAGGAACAACCTGTGAGAGAGAACAATTGAAAGTTCTTTCTCCATTTCTTTGGTTACCAAAGCAGACCCAGTTTCCTACAGAGGAGTAGAGTTCCAGTTTCTGTAAATAAAGGAACTCTCGAGTGTTCTCGGTTAAAGAACGTGATTTTCTCCTAGGAAAAGTGATAATGAAATAAAGTATTAGGAGTTGGATTTTATGGGTTAAATGGGTGGGTATAATGTTGGGTTGGATATAATAATTAAGTTAGAAGAAAATTTTAAATTAATAAAAAATATATATATCCATGTAGGCGTCTCACATATGACACTAAATAAAAGCAAGGATATGAGACTTAACTGTTCAAGGATAAATATGTACCTAAAGTTGGATGGGAGAGGCAAATATATCAAAAAAGTATGACGAGTGACAAATATAACCCTTTTCTAAGAGTACGAGGACAAATATGGCCCTTTTCCGATAAATAAATCATCTTATGAATTGTAATTTATCGAATTATTATTAAATTCTCGTGTTAATCATTTTATAATGATTAATATTACAACTCCTTATAAAAATGTTCCAATATCCTTACAACACCAAAATCATTTGTGAATAATAACCAAACTAAACTTAGAGCCATAACTATGATGAATGATCTTGCAAGAATGGATTTTTCATTTAATAAAAAATTTCCATAAATTAATCTTTTACACAAAGTTATGTTCGTTTGGGATGACAAAAATATTCCTCTAGTGGGAGAGTTGCAAAATAGTGAAGAGGAATAATATTGTTAGCAATATTTTACTTTTCTAAATTAAGGAAAAGAATCTATCTATATATAATAAAAGAGAAAAAAACGCATACGTGTCAGCATCACAAAAATCATATTTTTAAATAATTAAAATAAAATTAGGATACTTAAATATAAATCATTTAAAAACATTTTTAATAATTAGTCCCACGTAACTGAAAAATTGTTTTTATTTTTATTTTTCTAAAAAAAATATTTAAAACTTGAATATGGTAAAAAAAATTACTACAAATTTTGGAAAACACGGTAAAAAAATAAGTTTTGGACACATTTTTATAATAAGCCGTTTAGGACTCTAAATTAATTACATATACTGTTATTAAATAATAAATAAATTCAGTTTAAAAGGGAAAAAAAAACAACGTGAACTGAATATGGTAAAAAAATTCCCACAAATTTTGGAAATTCTATCTATATATAGTAGAAGAGGAAAAAATGCATACGTGTCAGCACCACAAAAATTATATTTTTAAATAATTAAAATAAAATTAGGATAATTAAATATAAATCATTTCAAAACAATTTTAAAAATTAGTCCCATGTAACTAAAAAACTGTTTTTATTTTTTAAAAAAATAAATTTAAAACTTGAATATGGTAAAAAAAAATCCTACATATTTTGAAAACACGGTAAAAAAAGAAGTTTTGGACACCTTTTTATATGAGCAACTTTCACTTATAGCAAACACAAAAATCATATTTGTATGTTATACTTATAATTTGCATAATTGCGCTCAGTTTGCTATGAATATTTCGCTATACATATATACAAAAGAAGCTGGCTATTTCGCTATACATATATACAAAAGAAGCAATTGTATAATTTGTTTCGGTATACATATACAAAAAATCAATTGTATAATATGTGTTTGTATAAAACGAGAAAGAGAGAAAGGAAATAGAGAACTGGGCAGGGGAACATTTGTATTGTATAATTATAAGTGTATAGGACGAAAATATATGTATTTGCATGTGTATATACAATTTTCTCTCGCTTTATACAAACAGAAACGCAATTTATACATTTCTGTTTGTATAAAGCGATAGAGGCGAGGGAGAGACTGGCGAGCGAGATCTGGGAAAGGGGAGAGAGGGGAATGAAAATATATGTATATATATAATTTTCTCTCGCTTTATACAAACACAAAACACATTTTATACATCTGCGTTTGTATAAAAGCGAGAGAGGCGAGGGAGAGACTACCAAGAGTGACGAGCGAGATTCACCAGGGAGAGAAGCGAAATAGCAATAGTTTGCTATGTTAGAAAAAATTCCCACAAATTTTGGAAAACACGGTAAAAAAAGACATTTTGGACTTTTTTTTTTATATATATAATATAAGTCATTTAGGACTCTAAATTAATTACATATAATGGTATTAAATAATAAATAAATTCAGTTTAAAAGAAAAAAAAACAACGTCTAAGATAAAAACAAAACTAACTTGAGTGCATTTTTAAAATTTTGATTTTATCTTAAACAGTTGAGGTTTTTGAATTCAAAACTGATTATAACTTCTATTTACAGTTTTAAAGTTTTAACTTTTTTGTTCTTTGTTTTCTCTCTATAAATACAAAACACAATACTTACGTTCTTTATTTTTATGTGATTTTATTTTTGAAAGAGAATCATCATGAGAAATTTTGATTATGCTTCATGGCTTTTAGGTAGCAAATTAAATTATTCTCTTATTTCGATGGATTTATCTCTTTGCACTGTTTCTATAATAAAAATCGAATGAAGAAAATACTCATCATAAACAAGGGGATCTTCATTTGAAGGATCCAAATTCAACATAAGATTGAAGTGAAGGTATTTCGACTTAGTCTTTAATAGTGTATATATTACGAATACATGGAAATATTGATCAACTTTTTGAATGAATT